CGCCTACTCTTGGGCTACTCTTTTACCAACGAAAAGTTGGATTGACCGTCACATTATAACGCCCCCACGGCTAAAAGGGCGAGCACCTTAACCTGGCTATTTATACAATGAGAACAAGAAGATTTTCAACCTAAACAAGTAGTAAAGTTTTCAATTTGTTGCAGAAAACATATAGCAAACAGTGATTTGAAGAAATAAAAATAGCTTCTGATAATTTGTTTCTGCAATACTTGTCTTGTATTAGTCCAGAATCATCATTTTCGTAAAGGATGCCACATGGCGATAGGTTTTCGAAGAGAAGACATCATCTGATTCCAATGAGACAAAGATTTTCCTCGGCATTGAGAACCAACAAAAACATGTCCTAAAGAGGGCGCTTTACCGTCACCATGATAATCAGCCACTGTCATGCGAAGTTGAATATTTTGCTACAATAATAAGAAAATTATGTATGATATAAATAAACAGATCTATTTGATATATTCAACTCTAGGAATAAAGTTATCTGAAGACATTTCTAATTTTATAGTATATTAACAACCAAAAACAAGCAACATTTAAATGCTATCTTTGGAATTGGACAAGAATGTATGACGTAGTACAGATAGAAAACTTCAGTTGTGATTTAGAATTTAAAGGAGTTGTTACCTGTAAAGCATTGGTTGGAACGGAGAAAATCATGGCTTCGTTAAAAATGGGATTTTTATCGTCTTTTTTTATGGATGTTTTCTTCTTACTAATTTTCTTACCGTTCTGAAGAAGGTACACCTTAACAAATGGAGCTGTAAAATAAAAAGAAATGCTTCCTGACATCAATACGTCGGTACATAAAGCTCAATAAAGTCAATAAATAATTATAACTCGATCATAAAAGTTTTTAAGAGTGAGGCTTAATGGAAATGTGGGGGTATTTGTAATATTTTATATAAAACTCGGAAGAGTTTTAGTTAGCTAAATTGATATTCGTTAATGTTTGTTATTAAGGCTATTATGTCGGTGAAATATATATATATAGGAATAACAACTTTATTGTTAGGAATTTGTTAAAACCAATTACTTTTACAAACAATAAATTAAAAGGTCCATTACTTATTAAAATATACGTACTGTTATAATAGTTTCTGTTCTTGAGCGGTTTCTTTTGAGTTATTCGGTAAAAAAATAAAAGCAGACTATAAAGTCCAATCCACTTAATGATAACCGAAACGTTCTATTTCATTGATTAGAAGCTCTATAATTTTACCTAACGAACCTGATATTTTCCGAGAGACAAGTCTGCCTTAATAATTCCACTTCCTTGTTAATTTGCTCAGCAGTAAGTCTCGGAGCTTATAACTCTAAAAATCAGGATCCGATACCCCATTCTATAGCTTTATGCTGAACAACAAAGGACAAACTTGTTTATTTTCTCGTATGTACGATGTACATGGAAACTTCTCGAATTTATATTTTTTCTCACAAACATAAACTCTAAATTTAGAAATGAACTAAGTGGCTGTTTCGTGGTAATTTTATACGTTACAGACTTATACTGTGGCGGACACTCTCATAATAAATAATTTACTTCAATGATTAATTCATTGATAAATAGTCCATGAATTTTAAAATCTCAATAATGTTCACAAAGTTTGGATATACTTCCAGACTTAAAGCTACACGCTCATTACGTGACGTCAAACCTCCCACTGGTTAAAAACGTAGCCTAAATCATTTGACATTAGGTTTAGTTACTCATCCTTTAAAGTACACCTTACTCTTAAGAGTCAGAAGCTTTGAACAGATAAATATCCTGTTATTACACTGGCACACACGCATTTTGCAAGTTTACGATTTCACAGCTAAAAACCTAAATTCAGTATAATCCAATCTTCGCGGTTATTTCGCGTTTCACAGACGCCGAGGCCTTAAGCTGTTTATAAACGTACATTATATAAAAGTATCAACTCTAATATTGTTTGTTTGTTTGTGAATTTCGCGCAAAGCTACACGAGGGCTATCTGCGCTAGCCGTCCCTAATTTAGCAGTGTAAGAC